GAGAGAGAGAGAGAGAGAGAGAGAGAGAGAGAGAGAGAGAGAGGACCCATAACCCCAAGTTCGAACGCCAACAAGATTGAACGGGAAGAGAGAGAGAGAGAGAGGACCCATAACCCCAAGATCGAACGCCAACAAGATTGAACGGGAAGAGAGAGAGAGAGAGAGAGAGAGAGAGAGAGAACCTGTAACCCTGAGATCGAACGACAACATGACCGAACGCGACGAGAGAGAGAGAGAGAGAGAGAGAGAGAGAGAGAGAGAGGAAACCCGTGACCCCGAGATCAAACGCGCGCGCGCGCGAGAGAGAGAGAGAGGAAACCCGTGACCCCGAGATCAAACGCGACGAGAGAGAGAGAGAGAGAGAGAGAGAGAGAGACAGAGAGCCCGTAACCCCAATATCGAAGGGCGACAAGACCGAACGCGACGAGAGAGAGAGAGAGAGAGTCTGTAACCCTGAGATCGAACGACAACATGACCGAACGCGACGAGAGAGAGAGAGAGAGAGAGAGAGAGAGAGAGAGAGAGAGAGAGAGAGAGAGAGAGAGAACCCGTAACCCCAAGATCGAACGCGCGCGCGCGCGCACGCGCGCGCGCGCGAGAGAGAGAGAGAGAGAGAGAGAGAGGAAACCCGTCACCCCGAGATCAAACGCGACGAGAGAGAGAGAGAGAGAGAGAGAGAGAGAGAGAGAGAGAGAGAGAGAGAGAGAGAGAGAACCCGTAACCCGAAGATCGAATGCGAACAAGATCGAACGCGACGAGAGAGGGAGAGAGAGAGAGAGAGAGAGAGAGAGAGAGACCGACCTGCTGGCAAGCTGGTGGCGTTGTCGACTGGGGGCGGCTGGCTGCGACTCCTACTGGCGGCTGCTCGATGATGGCTTCAGGTACCGCTTCACTCCTGGCGGCTGGGTGGCGATGGCTACAGCGCCGGCTTCGACAGATGCAGGGAGGAGTTGAGGACACACACGAGGGAACTTGCAGCAACGACGAGCGGGGGATTGGAAATTGGCAACTTCGAAATTACCCCGCCAACAACCAATACCCCGCCTCACCCAACACCCATCCTGACTCACCTGTGTCTGGTAGCGGGACCCGTGTCCGGTAGGCCCAAACGTGCTTGAAAAATCTGGCCATATTTTATGAGGGGGCGCCCAGGACCTGGTAAGTGTC